AAAAAAAAAAAAAAAAAAAAAAAAAAAAAAAAAAAAAAAAAAAAAAAAAAAAAAAAAAAAAAAAAAAAAAAAAAAGAATAAAGAGACCAGAAGGTCAAGTCTTCAGTTCCAAAGGAAAATTTCTTTGTCTTGAGCTGTTACTAGGCACCTCATCAACATCTTTTATGATTTCATTCAGTGGGGCTGAGAGAGCCCCAGCCCCTCACAGGGGTGAGTCTCTCCTGTCCGCTGGTAGCTGTATTACTTTACCTGATTGCCCTCTCTGCTGAGATAAACAGCAGCTACGAGCGAAGGGCTGCTCCCCAGTCACAGGCACATCTTAAACTTCAGCTGTCTTTTGTACCTTGAAAACAGTAAATATCTGGCGTTAATAGCCCACATTTTATGGATGTTTCATGGACACAAAGACCCTAAAAGCCCAGGAGGTGTGAGCTGCTAGAGGCCCTGGCCATCACCCGAGGGATGCTTGGAATGCTTGGATGTTAAATGCTTGGAATCAAACAAGAACCCATGGTCTCTAAATCTGAGTCCAGTGCCTCTAAATGTTAAATAAATATTTGTTGGATTCTTGTCCTAATGAGTGATGACTTTGGCAAGGGAGTCAGCCTTCCAAGCCAAGAGCAGCATGCTCTCCCAGATCCTATCCCAGCCTGAGTTCAGTGCACGGGAGATGACCAGCATCAGGCAGAGAGCGCTCCATCCCTGTTCCTGCCTCCGAACTGAAGCCTTCGCACTGGCTCTCTGGAGCTCTCCGGCTCTCCATCTTCCTTCCTCTGCCCATGGAGTTGTCTGTCTGGCCCCAAAGGAAAAATATATATTTATGTAAAATAGAAACAAGCATTTATTTATTTACTTATCATAGCCTGACTGTACCACCCAGGGTGCTCTCAGACTCCTGGCCTCAAGCAAGCCTCCTGCCTCAGCCTCCAAATAACTGGGATTTATAGGTGTGAACCACCACACCCAGCCCCAGAGGAAATATTTTGACACACAAAAAAAAAATGAAACAAAGATTAAGCAAGGAGGCTGGGCAAGGTGGGTGGCTCATGCCTGTAATCCCAGCAGTTTGTGAGGCTGAGTCAGGCAGATCACCTGAAGTCAGGAGTTCGAGACAAGCTTAGCCAACATGGTGAAACGCTGTCTCTACTAAAAATATAAAAAATTAGCCGGGTGTGGTGGTGGGCTCTTGTAATCCCAGCTACTCAGGAGGCTGAGGCAGTAAAATCACTTGAACCCAGAAGGTGATGGTTCCAGTGAGCTGAGATCGTGCCACTGTACTCCAGCCTGGGCAATAGAGCGAGACTCTGTCTTAAAAAAAAAAGATTAGGCCGGATGCGGTGGCACAGGCCTGTAATCACAGCACTTTGGGAGGCCGAGGCGGGTGGATCACGAGATCAAGACCATACTGGTCAACATGGTGAAACCCCGTCTCTACTAAAAATACAAAAAATTAGCTGGGCATGATGGCGTGTCCTGTAATCCCAGCTACTCAGGAGGCTGAGGCAGGAGAATTGCTTGAACCC